GAGCAGAGAGCCCGATGCGGGGCTCGATCCCAGGATCCTGGGATCATGACCTGAGCCGAAGGCAGAGGCTTTATCCCACTGAGCCACCCAGGCGCCCCTTTTTGGGAGATTTTTAATGTCTGCTTCAATCTCCTTACTGGTTATGGGTCTGTTCAGGTTTTCTATTTCTTCCTGGTTCAGTTTTGATAGTTTGTATGTCTCTAGAAATGCCTCCATTTCTTCCAGATTGTCCAATTTGCTGGTGTATAGTTGCTCATAATATGTTCTTACAATTGTTTGTATTTCTTTGGTGTTAGTTGTGATCTCTCCTCTTTCATTCATGATGTCATTAATTTGGGTCCTTTCTCTTTTCTTTTTGTTAAGTCTGGCTAGGGGTTTATCAATCTCATTAATTCTTTCAAAGAACAAGCTCCTAATTTTGCTGATCTTTCTGTTCCTATTTCATTGATTTCTGCTCTAATTTGTATTATTTCTCTTCTCCTGCTGGGTTTCAGCTTTATTTGCTGTTCTTTCTCCAATTTCTTTAGGTGTAGACTTACGTTTTGTATTTGAGCCCTTTCTTCTTTCTTTCTTTTTTTTTTTTTTATTAACATATACTGTGTTATTTGCCCCAGGGCTACAGGTCTGTGAATCATCAGGCTTACACATTTCAAAGCACTCACCATGGCCTATACCCTCCCCAATGTCCATAACCCAGCCACCATATCCCTACTCCCCTACCCACCAGCAAGCCTCAGTTTGTTTTGCAACACTAAGAGTCTTTTATGGTTTGTATCCCTCCTGATCCTTTGTTTCATTTATTCTCTCCCAACTGCCCTGAATCCCCTCTTTCTTGTTTCTTGAGAAAGGCTTGTATCACTATATACTTTCTTCTCATGGCCGCCTTTGCTGTGTCCCAAGAATTTTTGACAGTTGTGTTTTCATTTTCATTTGTTTTCCATGAACTTTTAAAAAATTCTTCATTCATTTTCTAGTTGACCCATTCATTCTTTTATAGGATGCTCTTTAGCTTCCGTGTATTTGCATTCTTTCCAACTTTCCTCTTGTGACTGAATTCTAGTTTCAAAGCACTATGGTCTGAAAATATGCAGGGAATCTTCCCAATCTATTGGTACTGGGTTAGACCTGATTTGTGACCCAGGATGTGATCTACTCTGGAGAATGTTCCTTGTGTACTAGAGAAGAATGTGTATTCTGTTGCTTTGATGGAATGTTCTAAATATATTTGTGATGCCCATCTAGTCCAGTGTGTCATTTAAAGCCTTTATTTCCTTGTTGATCTTTTGCTTAAATGACCTGCCCATTTCAGTGAGGGGGCTGTATTACTGTCAAAGTGTTTCTTTGATTTTGTCATTAATTGTCTTACATAATTGGCTGCTCCCATGTTAGTGGCATAGATATTTAAAATTGTTAGATCTTGTTGGACAGACTCTTTAAGTATGATATAGTGTCCTTCCTTATTTCTTATCATAGTCTTTGGTTTAAAACCTAATTTGTCTGATATAAGGATTGCCACCCCAGCTTTCTTTTGATGTCCTTTAGCATGGTAAATTGCTTTCCACCCCCTCACGTTAATTCTAGAGGTGTCTCTGAGTCTAAAATGAGTTTCTTGTACACAGAATATTGATTTTTTTTTAATCCATTCTGATACCCTGTGTCTTTTGATTGGGGCATTTATCCCATTTACATTCAGGGTAACTAATGAAAGATATGAATTTAGTGCCTTTGTATTGCCTATAAGACGACTGTTATTGTATATTGTCTCTGTTCCTTTCTGGTCTATGTTACTTTCAGGCTTTCTCTTTGTTTAGATGTCCCCTTTCAACATTTCCTGTAGGGCTCGTTTGGTGTTTACAAATTCTTTTAGTTTTTGTTTGTCCTGGAAGCTTTTTATCTCTCCTTCTATTTTCAATGACAGTCTAGCTAAATATAATATTCTTGGCTGCATATTTTTCTCATCTAGTGTCCTGAATATATCATGTCAGTCCTTTCTGGCCTACCAGGTCTCTGTGGTTAGGTTTGCTGCCAATCTAATATGTCTCCACTGTAGGTTACAGACTTCTTGTCTAGAGCTGCTTTCAGAATTTTCTTTCTCTGAGGCTTGTAAGTTTTAGTATTAGATGATGGGCTGTTGACTTATTTTTATTGATTTTGAGGTGGATTCTCTGTGCCTCCTGGATTTTGATAACTGTTTCTTTCCCCATATTAGGGACGTTCTCCAATATAATTTGGTCTGATATACCTTCTGCCCCTCTCTCTTTCTTCTTCTTCTGGGATCCCAATTATCCTAATATTGTTTCATCTTATCGTATCACTTATCTCTCAAATTCTCCGCTTGTGATCCAGTAATTATTTCTCTTTTCCTTGGCTTCTTTATTCTCCATCATTTGGTCTTCTATATCACTAATTCTTTCTTCTGTATCATTTATCCCAGCTGTTAGAGCCTCCATTTTTTTTTTTTTTTTGCACCTCATTAATAGCCTGATTTCAACTTGGTTAGATTTTAGTTCATTTCTCCAGAAAGGGATTTTTTAGTATCTACTATGGCTTTTTCAAGCCCAGCTCTTATCTTTAAAATCATCATACTGAACTCTAGTTCCAACATCTTACTAATGTCTATATTGATTATGTCCCTGGAAGTTGGTACTTCCTCTTGCTCTTTTTTTGAGGTGAGTTTTTCTGTTTTGTCATTTCGTCCAGAGAATAATAGAAGAATGAGAAAACAAAATGCTAATAGGGTAACAACAACCTCAGAAAGATATACACTAAAGAAATCAGAAGAGACCCAAAACCAGGGAGAAAAGAAAGGAAAACAAAAATATGATCAGGCTGGTGAACAGAACAGAGTCACACCCTAGATTTTGTGTGTATTTTGGTCTGTTAGAAGAAACTGCCTCTCAAAATGTTAAGGACAAACATATATACAAAAATAAGGGTAAATACGATGAAGGGATGGAATATGATTTATAAGGTGAAAATTAAAGATTTCAAAAGAGGAATCAAGTTCGTTGAAAAAAAATTTAGAAAAAAAAGAGAATGTGATCAGGCGGGAGACTAGAACCAAGTCATTCACTAGATTTAGAGTATATTTTGGTCTGTTATTTGAGACTGTATACCACAAATTTAAAGAAGGAAAAATGTATATATAAAAAGAAATAAGGTTAAACACAATAAAGGGATAGAATATGATTGTAAAAATGAAAATTAAAAAAGGTTTTTAAAGAGGAATTGATAAGATATTGGTTAAAATAGAAAAGAAGAAAAATTTTAAAAAATAGAAAAAGAAAAAATAAAGAAAATTTTAAAAATTTACTTTGAAAGACTAGAGAATCATGGGGGAAAAGCCATGAATTCTATGTGCTGTATTCACCTAGTGCTGGAGTTTTGTAATTCTCATTTATCAGTAAACTTAGCCTTGGCCAGATGTTCTTGCTGATCTTCTTTGGGAGGGGCCTTTTACAGTGATTCTCAAATGTCTTTGCCTAAGGTGGAATTGTACAGCCTTTGCCAGGGGCCAGGCTACGCAATCTTCTTGGGTGTGCTCTCGGTAAGTTTTGTTCCCTGAATGCTTTCCGTATAGCTTTGGAGGACAAGAATGAAGATGGCGGCCTCCCAGTCTCCGACCCAGTGGAGCCGAGAGCTCAGGGCCCCACTCCTCAGTGCGCCCTCAGAGAAAAGCAGTCAATCACTTCTGTCTCGCTGGTCTCTGGCCGCACTATGTGCTCACCTGGCCTATAACCAAGCATTTCTATCTCTGGCCCAAGGCCTCATTTGGAGTCTCCAAACCCAGCAGATTCCCGCAGTGCACTCTCGTGCTGTTCCTCCCAGGGGAAGGTGAGTCTCCCTAGATCTGCTGCTTGTGGGGTCCCTGCTTGAAGAGTAGTGTCTCAACTGTGAAGTGGATCATGGTTTATGGCAACCCTGAGCTGAGAAAGCCTCTCCCTGGCTCCATCTCTGCAGCCAGCTTCTCTGCTCTGATACCTGGGAGCTCTGCCGCGCCCAGGGACCCCCAGTCTTTCTGTGACTCCGAGGAACCTGAGACCACACTGTCTCAGTGAGGACTCCACCCCCCCCACCTAGCTACTGGGGCGACAACCCTGCATGGAGCAGACTTCTAAAAGTTCTGATTTTCTGCTCTGCTGCTCTCTCATTTCCCAAGAGCCAGTCCCCCCGCCCCCCGCAGTCTATCTTCTTGTATATCACCTTAGATTGACCTCTCCTCACGTCCTACCTTCTGTAAAGTGGTCGCTTTTCTGTCCATAGAATTGCTGCTCTTCTTCTCTTCTATCTCCTGTTGAGTTTGTAGGTGTTCAGAATGGTTTGATAACTATCTAGCTGAATTCCTGGGACCTGATGTAATTTAGGTCTTCTACTCCTTTGCCATCTTACTCCCCCCACCCCCAAGAACATAAAGGTTTTAATTATGTCTTGTCTCCAGAAAAGCACACGTCTTTAACAGTGGATTAATAACAGTTCCAATAACTAATGGCTATCCAGGAAGAGGTGGGCAACCATTTGTTTGGATAGGATACAATTGGATAATTACATCCTATCACAAGTAAGCAAAATCCAGGTGTGCTAAAGGAGTTTTTGGAAGGATTATTTTCAGTAGTATAATATACAAAAAGACAGTCACTCTTGTGAGAATGAAACTAGAAGATCAGCAAATGAAGAAAAGCACAGCAGAGTCAACTATTATGTTATTACACATCAGGCACTCTATATATGTTGCTTTATGTGATATCCATGACACTTTCATGCAGCACCTACAGGCGCCTTCACTTTGTAGAAGAGATTGGACACTCAGAGAGGTGAAATAATTTGTCCTAGAGTCATATTCCTGACCCAGGCCTGCTGACTCCCAAGTCATGGTTCTTTTAGTTCTCTATGCAAATTATCATAGAAAGAATTTACCAGAAGAAGAGCACATAATATTTTTGCTGACAACAAGGCAGCTACAAACTGCCATGATAGAGTGAGTCACTGTGGATTCAACTTACTTCAGGGAGGAATCCCCAACACCAATGCAGCCTCGCAAGCTGAGCTTCCTCAGGAATCCACCGCATCGCTTGGAGATATTTTCCACCACTCGACCCTGGAATCAAAAAAGTCAGAACAAGATATCATTTTTCATGCTGCTTATCTAACAGCATGATAACCTGAAATTTAGAAATGGAATATATTTTTTCCAGGTGTAATGAAGCCATTTTGGAGCATTCCTCCAACACTCCACTGTTCCTAAAGGAGCTGCAAGCATTGAAAAATGTTTTCAATTAAAGCATTAAGTATTAAAAAAAAAAAAACTTAGTGCACTGTATTTTGGCAGCTTTAACCCTGGACCTAGGCCTCCCCTACTCAGGGCTCAGAGCTACTGCACCAGTTGCAAGGTTTTTTGAGGTCAGCTGTAGGAACACTGGCTGCTAAGCAGCAATCTAAAACAACATTGCTCAAAAAAAAAAAAAAAAATTCTATTTTAGCTAAACATTACCACTCTAAAAGTTTGCAAATGTATTATAAAAGTTCCCCCTCATCCTCCTTAGCAATCAGCTATAAACACATTTACTTTGAAATAGGAAACTTGGCTGGATACTGGCAGATACATTAAAAGAAAAAAATGAACACTGATAAAGCACTTTCACTTTTTCGGGCACGATTTTAACACTTCCTTGTACTTATTATGGCTCAGTTACTATTCCCAACAACTTCATGGTCTACTACTCCACAATGGAGACAATGAAGAGTATGTCTGGAATACAAATCTTTCAGGTCATCTCTTGTAACATTACCATGCACTGTGATTCAAGTCAATGTAAAACTACAAATCAATCCAGGCAGGACTACCAATGGTCCATATACTTCAGGATTGATGGTTTGGGTTACTCTACCAGGTAGAGAACCATGACCAGCTGAGGTGCTTGCTGCAAAGGGAACACAGAATGGGAAGTAGAAGAAGACAGTTGAAAATATCAACTACCATCATGCAACCAATTACAGAAATGAAAACTCTGTCATGAATGCTTCTCCTTATTTTGTTATGAGTATGTGTGTATGTAAAGCCAAGACATTTGTTTTCTTTCCTCTTCTCTTCCCTTATGTAAAATAAGATGTACTGATATCATATCAAGTATTTAAGTATCATTAATTCTATATCATACTATTTAAGATACAGGATATGAAGAAGAGTGAACATCACTCAAGGACATTCTCTCTTCTTTTGAGGAAGGAGTTAGTGTGTTTCTGGTTGTACACTGGATACTTGTACCACATTAGGTTGAATTTGGACCTTGTTATCTTCTTTATTTGGAGATTAAGTATGGCTTAAGGAGATACATATGGGTGCCAAGTTGACAAGGGGTGAACGTTTGATAATTAATCTGATGCATCAACTTGACTGGACCACAGAATGTGCAAACATTTGGCCCAACAGTATTCTGTATGAGTCTGTGAGGGTATTTCTGGATAAGATTACCACTTGAATCAGTAGAGAGAGAAAAGTCGCAGTGGGTGGGCCTCATCCAATCAACTGAAGACCTGAATAGAATAAAAAAGGCTGAGTAAGAGGGAACTCGCTATGCGTGACTGCTTAAGCTAAGACAGTGGTCCTTTATGGCCTTTGGACTGGGACTGAAAAACATCAGTTCTTCTTAAGTCTGGAACCTGTCAGCTTTCAGACTGGAATCTACCCCATGGGCTCTGCTGGTTGACAGGTCATACTGGAGTTCCATATCAGCTCTCTTGGGTCTCCAGCTTCCCGACTGCAGATCTTAGGACTTCTCAGCCTCCATAATCACATGATCCAATTCCTCAATATAAATTTCTGTATTTATATACATACAGACCCTATTAATTTTTTCTCTGGAAAATCCTGACAATTAACAGAATGGATTCAAACCTTCATTTAGCAAATAAAGAAATTAAATGGTCAAATTGCCAAGGTTACACTTTAGTGAGTAGTAGAGTTAGAGTTCTAACAAGTTAGAGTTACTTGATTCTAAAGGCTGCACAACTACTCCTTCACAAGGGAGGAAATACTGAAAGAGGACCATTTGGGTCTTTAAAAAAAAGCTATTATCCTCACTTTATAACATGGCAATCTTGACACTGAACTGTAAGCACTAAGCATTCACTAGGACACATCAAACCACAGGATCACGGAGCAAGGCTCACACATATTATCTGGCTAACATCTTAAGATGAAAATCTACACTCTGATATTGTTAGCAGCTTTATTTATGCTTTCTTGAGTATTCCCTAAGTTAATAAATCATTGTCACTGGAGGTGGGGAAGCTTATAACTTGGAAATCTAAGATAAACATTCAAGTAAAAAATAAAACAGCGAAAACCCTTCCATACCAACATCTACAAATGTGGTACACAACATATTTTTCTCCATTTCAAGTTGGTTTCGTTTATATAAGCTTTCTATTCTTCCTTTCTTTGGAGTAAAAGTTTTGGTACTCAGATTAAAAAAAAATTACATTCAGAATTTTCTGCTCTACTGTTTACAACGAAGAAAAAATGAGCACATAGTTTCCAAATGCAAAATTCAAGTCAATGACTGTGTATTATCCATTTAGATAGTATGTTGAATGATGATGATAGTATGATAATATAGATTTTGGAATGAACAGCTTTAGAGAAAAATAAGGCCTAAATGGAGAGACCTTTGGAGTTATAACTTTTAGATTAGCATGCTACTTGGTTATTTCTTATTTTTGGCCTGGTGGAATCTTTTTTTTTTTTTTTTAAGATTTTATTTATTGTCAGAGAGAGAGAAAAAGAGAGAGAGAGAGATCACAAGTAGGCCGAGAGGCAGGCAGAGGCAGAGGGAGAAGCAGGTTCCCTGCCGAGCAAGGAGCCCGATGTAGGACTCGATCCCAGGACGCTGGGATCATGACCTGAGCTGAAGGCAGCCGCTTAACCAACTGAGTCACCCAGGCGTCCCTGGTGGAATCTTTATTAACCATAAAGACACTGACAAAAAATGTCCAACTTTTAAAGACATGGAAAATACCTAAACATCAGGGTAACAATACTGAATCAGGAAAGGAGTGATGCTCAAGGAAAGGCACAATGTACACTTGTCATCTGGATGCTTTATTCTACCTTTTCTCTGAAACACAACGGTCACATAACCCATTGTGTTCACGGTACCTACTGTTTCCTCCTAACTGACTGAACTACCCAGGAATCCCCCTACTGTTTCCTCTTACTAGATGAATGACCTTGGGTAAGTTACTCAAACTTTTTGTGCCTCAGTTTCTTCAATATGGCGTTTTTGAGAAAATTAAATGGATATTTGTAAGCTACTTAAATAGTGCCAGGCACATAGTAAATAGTATATTAATCCTGAACCTTGGTACCTTCTCTTTCTCTCAACATACCCATAAATCATCATTTTCATCCCAAAGAAATAATTTTAGGTGATCAATTTATCCATGGAATGCTTCCTGGGGTGAGTATCCAATGGGTCCTATTTAAAGAACACAGGGGACTCCGACACTTGGTTCATAATCCAGTCTGGATTCAAGTTGTTAGCCCCGAAAGGGGAACTAAATAATATTAGGCTAGACTAATACTAATATGGTGCTATCTATTTTAAGTTTTCACATGTAGGGGCACCTGGGTGGCTCAGTTGGTTAAGCATCTGATTACTGCTCAGGTCATGAAACTGGCTGGGGTCCTGGCATCAAGTCCTACATCAGGCTCCGAATCTGCTTCTCCCTCTGCCCTTCACCCTGCTCATGCTCTCTTTCTCTCTCTTGTTCTCACTCTCTCTGTCAAATAAATAAATAAAATTTTAAAAAGAAGTTTTTATATGTAATTCTTTATATAACTGGTTACCCATAAACTAGTCTTTCCTTTAGTGGAAGTACTCGTAAGTCTTTCTACAATGTATTTATATAGCTATGATCAGCCGTAAGCTAAAATTCTGAAATCAAATAATATACAAGGTAGTGCTATTTACTTGAAATATAGTTTTTAAAATCTGAATTTAAAAGTTTTAAATATGCCTTTCAAAAAGTTGTATAGTTCGGGAAAATCATCAAAGAAAACTGAGGGGACAATAAGAGCCACAAAAATAATAATTTACAAGAATCTTAAAAAACAATGACTTTCCTTTGGTGAGCAGAAATGACCACAATTTTTGGAACTTAATGTGCTTCTCAGCATCACTAAGTAAACACAATGAACAAAGATCTAGAGATTATCAGTTTGAAGAAGAATCGCAGGTCAGCATGTTTGGGTGGGGCACTGTGGAATCACTGCTATTAAGCCTGGAAAGAGCATTACAGAACTCCTAATCCAGGGACCACAGTCCAAAACAGCAACTGATCACTTATGTATTCAGGCTGGGTGTGAAGCCCTGAGGTCCCTGACCCTTCCCAATTCAAAACACCACAACAAGAGAGGAAACCCACAGTGGGAAACTCTGTGCTCAGCCCCACTTGCTGCAGGTGCTCTGCTCCACTGGTTTGATATGGGATCAGACACTCTCCAGCTAGTAACCTAGAGAAAAAGGGGAAGGGCCTCCACAACTGATCGTTAGCTCTTCTCAGGTAACACGAGGTTAAATAACTCAGAGGAAATTGTTTGGGCTCATCTCACTGTTAGGCATGATTATTTCCTTATCCATTAAAAAAAGACACAAAACATACACTTTGGTAGAAACACTTGATGAAAATGCTATATGAGGAACTGGATTAAAATACAACTCCATTGCTGTGAAGTGTGTAAACCTGGCGATTCACAGACCTGTACCCCTGGGGATAAAAATATATGTTTATAAAAAATAAAATTAAAAAAAAAATACAACTCCATGACTACAACTGAATTGGCTAAACTAGAAATGAATAAGGTTCTCTCAATGTTGGGCAGATAAACTTCAGAATCTGCACACCCTTAACATAGTAGTCTAGATAATTATTTTTTTTTTAATTTATTTATTTGTCAGAGAGAGAGAGAGCACAAGCAGGCAGAGTGGCAGGCAGAGGCAGAGAGAGAAGCAGGCTTCCCACAGAGCAGGGAGCCCGGTGTGGGTCTCGATCCCAGGACCCTGGATCATGACCTGAGCCAAAGGCAGGAGGCTTAATGGACTGAGCCACCCAGGCGTCCCAGTCTAGATAAATATTGTGTGCAATGAAGATTACTTTCCTCTTTCTTTTTCATTATAAGTTTATATTTAATCTAAAAGTTGTTTTAAAATAAACTTTTCTCATTTGGTCAGGCTTACCACTCTTACATGGGGATATTCACATATTTCCAGATAAATACATGAAAATCCTAGAATTATAAAGGCTTTGAGGATTTTTTTTTTGCCTCTTTATTTTATAGACAATAAAACTGAAGAACTGAGAGATTATATGGCTTAAGTGGCTGAGCTGCAGTGATATCTCAGGTCTCCATCTTCACTCCTCGACCCATTCTTCTGCCATTTCTCCATTCTTGATGCTGAATTAGAATTCTCAGTGGATCTTTCAGATCAATAAATATTTGTCAGGAGTCTGCTAAGATTAAATCACTGAACTGGGTGTTAATGATGCAGGTTCGGGGCTTTAAAAAGCTAAGTGGCAATACCAAGGCTATAGACATGAACAAGGAGGGAAAGTAGTTTGTTACTGATACAGAGCCAAAGCAAAATACACGCAGAATTTTGGTCTTGATGTACATAGATACCTTCTAGGTTTTTTTCCTTCTCTCCTACACCCTGATATCTTAATATTAAATCTAGGGGTGCCTGCGTGGCTCAGTGGGTTAAGCCTCTGCTTCAGCTCGGGTCATGATCTCAGGGTCCTGGGATCGAGCCCCGCATCGGGCTCTCTGCTCAGTGGGGAGCCTGCTTCCCCCTCTCTCTCTGCCTGCCTTTCTGCCTACTTGTGATCTTTCTCTCTGTGTCAAATAAATAAATAAAATATTTAAAAAAAATTAAATCTAAATGCAGCAAAAGAAGAAGGCAGGAAAGAGTGACCAGTTTACTTATCTTTTTAAAAAGTTTGTTGTCTAAAAGGAAGCTAACTTACCTCTACATCTGTTTGAAAGTTAAAAAGGTCTATTCTTTGCCAGTTGCTTCCATCCAGGGCTAGGATGTTCCAGGCCTAGGGGGCGGGAGGCAGAGGAGGAGAGATGGGAGTGAAAGAGATACACTGAGACTGTTAATGGAAGTCCTGATTCAACCTCTGTATTTCCAAACTTTTATTCTTGATATACATTAAGTGGACAATCAAATATGGAATTATGATAACACCATGTTATATTAAATGTAAAAGATGACATTTAAAGTTAACTGCTTGGGACACCTGGGTGGCTCAGTTGGTTAAGCATCCAACTCTTGATTTTGGCTCAGGTCATGAGCTTGGGGTCGTGGGACTGAGCCCCGCATTGGCTCTGCGCTAGATCTGGAGGCTACTTAAGAGTCTCACTCTCCCTCTCTCTCCCACTTCCACTGCCCCTCCCCGCACTAGCGCACAGACACGCATGTGCACTTTCTTAAAAACATTAAATTAAAAAAAGTTAACTGCTTGTTTGAACTAAAACTAAAACTCATTCTAATAAAACTCAGTATTTATTGATTGATAAAAATCTGGTTAATACTCTACCTTGGAAATCTGTGCACATCGGCACAAAGTTACTATATCCAAGAAGGAAAATATTCTAGGAAGAAAGGGGAAAAACAAAAAAATGAGATGGTATTAACATTTTAGGATATTTACAACTTGAAAGATAAAATCTAATGCACCAACCTGATAAGTTTTTTTCAAGATTCCTCAATTTGAAATACACAAGCTCACTATAATTCTGCAACACTACTGTGAAATAGCAAATGTTCACATGTTCCAAAGCTGTTTTAGACTCACTACACAAATCCTCTTAAAAAAGAACCTGTTAAACTTTTATGTCACTTGTTCTATGACATGGACGTGGGACAGTAGATCATAATTTATTCTATTAAAAAACCAACTCTCTAATCTCCTAGACACTAAGCCTGGGGAGAGCTAAATCCTTCTAATTCTAATGTCCCTAGCACACGGTACAAACTCCTCTTCTGTTAACAGATGTACCAAAGAGGTTCAGATGTCTGAGCCTCAAATAACACAGCCAAGAAAGACTCAATGATAAAACCCATTTGGCTTTGATGTATTTGTTCACAGAGCAGAAAGATGGAGTCCATTCATTGGCAAGTTCTATAGTGACCAGTTTTTGCTGAGCAAAAGCCAAGAACCACAGAAGGGGAAAGATGAGGAAAAGAAAAATCAGAGAAGTAAACAAAAACCTAGTAGTGCCCCTAGAGGGAGCAGTAGCTGTCAGTATGGCAGGGGGCTGAGTGAAGTCCCAACACGGGCGGTGGAGAGGAGTTGCTGACGATAGCACTGCGGCAAATACCTGCGTGTGTCTCAGCCCTGTGCGGTAACAGCTGCAAACAAAGAGCAGCTTTTCTGAGAGAAGAGAGGTTTATGAGGATGAGGTCAGGGACAATAATAGGATCTCAATTCTCATAGTTCTGAGAGATAAATATGAGAGTTTGTGTCTCTGTGTAGAAGGGGGAAAAGGTAAGATGGCAAACAGCCACCTATAAAGTTCTTCAAAATTCTCCAAAGATGGGGCGCCTGGGTGGCTCAGTTGGTTAAGCAACTGCCTTCGGCTCAGGTCGTGATCCTGGAGTCCTGGGATCGAGTCCCACATCGGACTCCTTGCTCGGCGGGGAGTCTGCTTCTCCCACTGATCTCTCTCTCCTCTCATGCTCTCTCTCATTCTCTCTCACAAATAAATAAAATCATTAAAAAAATTAAAAAAAAAATTCTCCAAAGATAACAATCAATGGTCAGTTGAAAATCCATGGGCTCAGGAAACAATAGCAGATCCATAAAACCCCAGAGCATTGTACCCTACAATAATGCATACACAAGCATTACCACAGGGCTAGTGATGCTACAGGTACCATTCTATAATACAGGCTCCAATCACTTTCTACTGAAAAGTAAAGAATAGAAACATAAGGGCTATACTGACCTTAAAAGATGCAATGGAACTTTGTATATAGAAAAATGTTGGTGGCTAAAAATACGCACTAAAGTATATGCTAAACATGTTTCAGGGTGCCTGCAAACCTACACTGCCTCTATGGACATACATCTTGCCCCACTCGCACGCCTTTCTGCCTCAAACATCCATGTTCTGTGCCATATGACCATTCCACTATGAGCCACAACTCATCACTAGCTCTCTAAAAGACCAAGGACCGGAGAGAGAAATGTATATGGTAGAATATGCTGGGGCTAGGTTCTAAAGTAAAAGCCTAGGTGAAAAAGGAGTTAGCCAAATTTCCCTTGAGAATCCCTTAAGACTGCACCACCTTGGAGACCACATTCTATCACCTCTTCATAAGAACAATTACACTGATATTTAAAAAGGTAGCTAACTTTGATTATGCATTTACTATGTGCTAGCCACAATTTATGTTAGTCATTTAACTGTCTCAACATTGTTTATTATCTCTTTTTCAGAGAATGAAATGGAGCACAGAAAGGTTAAGTAACCTGCCCAGGCCACACAGATAGTAAGAATAGAGCTAGGGTTTGAAACCAGTTAGTCTGACTTGAGAGCCCAAGTCTATGACCACTACATATACAGCCTTAGAAAGTTAAACTCAACTGTTTTCACCTCAGGACTGGACTAGATGCTATTTTTTTTCAACTGAACAGCTGATGAAGTAATTTTGCTTTGTAAGCATGCTGTATGGAAAACACCTATCTTTGAAAGCTAGGATCACACTAACTGAAGCAAAATGCTCACACATCCAGCCACACATGAGAACCAACAGCTGGAGCAAAAATTCACATTACTCATCTCAAGCTTACTACCAAATTTTATGGTTACTGAATGAAAAAGCAGATTGACCTTAATGTTTATTTTCCCTCTTCCCATCATCCCATAAATATATGTAGTTGAATTTGCACAAATTAAATAGTCATGATAGGACTCCAAACTACCAAACTGCAGCCTAAGCCAAATTCCTGAAATCATGTTTCAGTGAATAAAATAAATGACTTGAATAACAGCGTGGGACAGTGGCAATAGAGACAGAGATAGCTAGAGGAGTTAAGAGTCATGGTAAATTGAGTTCCAGCCTTTCCAAGCATTTTTTTTCCCCTGGAAATTGCTTCCTACCTCAAATGTGATAACTCCACCCTTCATTAGGAAAGCACTGCAAAGGCAACTTGGTTATCAGCAAATATATAAAGGTATATATAGGAGTGGATATACTTCTGAACTTCGTATTCTATTCCACTGGTCTGTCTACCTTTGTGCCAATAAGACTGTTTTAATTATGAAGCTTTATAAGTCTTGAGGTCTGGTAACGTTAAGTCTTTCAACTTTGTTCTTTAAGATTACCTTGGCTATTCTTGGTTCTTAGAATTTCCTCTTCCCTTTTAGAATCAGCATGTCAATTTTCGCAGGAAAACTTTATGGAATTTTAACTGGGATTACACTGCATTTATAGAAACTTTGAGGAAAATTGAAACCTTTATAATATTAAGTCTTCCAATCCAGACACATGATATATTCCATTATTTATTTAGGATGTCTTTAATTTCTCATAGTAATTTTTGTAGTTTTCCATATAGATACTCTCTTCATCTTTAGATTCCCCTGCGCCGGTTATTTGATGTGTTACTATTAAAATGGAATTTTTAAATGTCATTTCCTGTGTTTTTTTCTTTAAAGTAAGCTCTACACCCAAGTGGGGCTTGAACTGATAACCTGTTCACCACTTTCCTCCTTCAGATGAAGCCCTGTTAACCATCAATCTTTTTAATGTTTCCACAGTTTTGCCTTTTTCATAATGTAATTACTAGAAGCATATAGTATGCGCCCATTCAGATAGGCATCCTTCACTTAAAGTTTTTGTCTTTTAGTGGCAAGACAGCTTATTTTTTTAATGTTACATTAATATTGAAATATTAATATTAATATTGAAACTGATGTACCAGTTTATCCATTCATCTATTTAAGGTCATCTTACTTGCTTTCAGTTTTGGGTGATTATGAATGATTCTGCTATACACATTTGTATGCAGGTTTTTGTGTAGGTATGTTTTCTACTCAGTTGGATAAATACCTAGAATTGCTAGATCATGTAACCTTATGTTTAGCTTTGTAAGAAAGTGCCAAATTGTCTCCCAAAGTGCCTCTACCATTTTGAAGCTCCACCAGCAATGAATGAGAGTTCCTGTTGTTCTGAATCTTGTCAACATTTGGTATTGTTAGGTTTTTACACTTAGGCCATTCTAAAGAGGTGTACAGTGATATCTCGTTCAGTTTTTAATTCCTTAAAGACATGATACTAAGCATCTTTTCATATGCTTACTGTCATGTGTATGTCTTCTTTGGTGAAGTATCTAAATATTCTGTCCATTTTTTAAAATAAATTTTATTTATTTGACAGAGAGAGAGAGCACAAGCAGGCAGAGTAGCAGGGAGAAGGAAAGGGAGAAGCAGGCTCCCTGCTGAGCAAGGAGCTGGACATGGGGCTTGATCCCAGGACCCTGTGATCATGACCTGAGCCGAAGGCAGCCACTCAACCAACTGAGCCACCCAGGTGCCCCTTGACCATTAAAAAAAAAAAAAAAAAAAAAGACTTTATTTACTTGGCAGAGACAAAAGGAGAGTACAAGCAGAGGGAGTAACAGGGAGAGGGAGAAGCAGGCTCCCACTGAGAAAAGAACTGATGTGGGGCTTGATCCCAGGACCCTGGGATCATGACCTCAGTTGAAGGCAGACACTTAACTGACTGAACCATCCAGGCACATCTATTTTGCCTCTTTTTTGATTCATTTGTTTTCTTATCAGATTTTAAGAGTTCTTTGTGTATTTTGGACATCAGTCCTTTATCATATATGACTTTGAAAAATATATTCTCCAAGTCTGTGGTTTGTCTTTTCATTCTCTTAACATTATCTTTCCCAAGGAGTAGTTTTTAATTTTAATAAATCCAACTTACCAATTTTCTCTTTGATAGATCATGCTTTTGGTATTGTATTTAAAAATTCATTGCCAATCCCAAGGTCACCTACATGTTCTTCTATGGTTTTTTCAGAAGTTTTATTGTTTTGCATTTGCCATACAGGTCTATGATCCATTTTAAGTTGATTTCTGTGAAAGTTGTGAGGTCTGTGTTTACATTCTGCCTCTGCATATAGATGTCCAATTGTTGCAACACCATTTGGTGAAAAAGATAGTTTCTCCATTAAATTGCTTTTTCTCCTGGGGTGCCTGGGTGGCTCAGTGAAGCAACCGACTCTTGATTTCGGCTCAGGTTATGATTTCGGCTCAGGTTATGATTTCGGCTCAGGTTATGATTTCAGTGTCCTGGGATCGAGCCCCATGTCAGGCTCTGCACTCAGCGGGGAGTCTGCTTGAGAGTCTCTCTCCCTCTTTTCCTCTCCCCCTCGCCCAGTCATGCATGCTTGCTTACTGGCTCTCTCTCTCAAATAAATAAATAAATAAAAATTTAAAAAAATTTAAATAAAAACTCCTTGGGGCATTTGGGTGGCTCAGTGGGGTAAAGCCTCTGCCTTTGGCTCAGGTCATGATCTCTGGGTCTTGGGATTGAGCTCCGCATTAGGCTCTCAGCTCAGCAGGGAGCCTGCTTC